TTTTTATGAAAAGAAAAGTATTAATATTTAACAATTAATTATTTAAATGTTTATTTTGTTGAAAAAAATATACATTGTTAGTGTACATTTTCTGTGCTTAACATCCATGTGACCCTAAGTCTGGACAAAAGATCTCTTTCTATAGTTTGGCTGGTACATCCAAAAGGCGTCCCCTGTCTTGTCAGTGGCATGCCTACTTGCCAACAACCCTACCCCATTTACCAAAATAACAAATTCAGTTGGTCAGATAAAAATTAAAGAGAAGCAGAAAATGATTAATTTATAACATACCAAACAAAATCTGAACCATTTTTATAACTTTTTTCTTTTACTTGTTGGTCACATTGCTGACAAGGATGTATATACAGTACACTCTCTCTATAACGGCCCTTTCTATAACAGTCTACACTCTATAACGAACTGAGAATTGGATCCCAATTTTTTACTATATAAAATCCTTACTCTATAACGGTTTTCTTAATTAAATTTTCTATTGTGTATAACGGCCTGTCTCTGAAATTCACCTATATGTTTTATATAACTGTCTATAACGGCCGACGATCATTATCTTGCTAAATTGGGAAATTTTCTGTACCACATCACATCATATTATTAATATTAATAATACGAATAAATTATGACCGCATTATATTATAATATAATTTCTCCTATTGTATGTTTATTTTCATATCAACAATACATTTACAGTAAACTATATTATGAATCCAAGTCATAATGATGTTAACTATGATTCTTTGATTACAAGCAATGATGAAAGTTGTTTGAATAATTACAATATATGAAGTAATAATGAAATAAGAATGATGGAATATGTAAAATATGTTGGTAAATGCGACATAAGAACTGCCTCCATGACTTCATGATGTTAATACTCCAAAAATATATAAAGACCCCAATTTGCATCAAATCTATTATAAATTTTTTGATCTGAAAAACACTAAAAAAATTGTATTGTTCATAAAATCTTTAATAAAGAATTTAAATTATTATTATACTCTGATTAATACCCTAATCCACAATGTCTTTAATTAAAAGAAAATCTTTAACTGCTTTACAAAAAAAAGAAATTTGTTTAACCAAACAGACATCACCATTTCTCACAAATAAAGAACTGGCAAATACTTATAATATTGGCAAAAGTACTGTTGGTGATATTTTAAAAGAAAAAGAAAAATGGCTTGCGATTGACAATGAATCTTATGATGCTAATAAAAAGAGAAGAAGAAATTTATTATATGATGATATTGATCAAGCATTAGCTATTTGGATGGAGCAAGCACTTGATGCACATTTAGATCTTAGTGGTAATATATTAAAGGAAAAGGCAATGAATTTTGCTGAGCTTCTTAATAAAAATGATTTTAAGGCATCAGAAGGTTGGTTTAGTGGATTTAAAGAAAGGCATAATATTAAAGAATATGTAAAACATGGTGAAGCTGGTAGTGCCCCTATTTCGGAGTTACCAACATACAGAGAACAGATTAAAAGTATTACAAGCCAATATCAATTATCTGATATTTTCAATGCAGATGAAACTGGCTTATTCTGGAAATTAGAACCTTCTAGAGTATTGTCTACAGGGCAAGTAGCTGGAAGAAAAAAATCGAAGAAAAGAATTACTATAATGTTAACTTGTAATGCCAATGGAACAGAAAAACTAAAACCTCTTTTGATCCATAAATATCAAAATCCAAGAGCAATTGGAAAGATTAATAAAGATATCTTGAAAGTGAAATATTATTGGAATATTAAAGCATGGATGCAAACCTCCATCTTTAATGATTATCTAAAAGATTTAAATAATGAAATGATGAAACATTTTACTATTATTAGATAATGCTCCTACCCATTCAATTTCTGAATCAATAAATTTAACTAACATAAGGGTCCACTTTTTACCACCAAATACAACAGCATTTTTGCAACCATGTGATGCTGGAATAATTAATAGCTTTAAGGCAAATTACAAAAAATTTTTTTTACAAAAAAAATTAGTGATTATGAAGAAGAAAGGAATGGCCAAGAACCTAAAAAAATTTCAATTAAACATGCAATTAAATATACAGCAAAAGCTTGTGAAAAAGTTACAAGTCAAACTATAATTAACTGTTGGAAAAAAACTGGTATTTTACCTGATGTTGATAATGAAATTGAAAATGCGACATCAATTTTAGGTTCATTGAATGTAGAAGAACTCAATAATTTGCAGAATTTGATTGATGAACTTGCATTTAATAATCCTATATCTGCATCTGAATACATTGAAATCGAAAAAACTAATGATGAAAATGAAGAAATAAATTTACAAGACATAATTTCGATAATTAATCCAACTGAGGAAGACCAAAATCAAGAAGAAACAATTGAAGAATCTCCACCTGTTACAAATAAAGAAGCTTTGTCAGCAATAAAAATATTAGATATTTACATTGAACAACAATCTGAAAAGTTACAATTAAGTGAGAACGAATTTAAATTATTAAAAAGCCTTAAAAGAAAATAAAAAAATTGATTTTGATTCATATCAACAAACAACATTAGATATTTTTCTTGATACATGATGAATTAGAATTAGCAATAATATTTTAATTTTTAATGTATACATTTTTGTATTATTATATTATTATTATTACGTTTTTATTATTATAAATAAAAATATTTTATCACATTATTAAGATCTGCAAATTCCTTATAACGGTCATTTTTTGCCAAAACAGAAGGGCCGTTATAGAGAGAGTGTACTGTAATCATGCGATAATTTTAAACTATACAACAGCGGAATGATTGGGTAAAAACCCATCTAGTCCCTTACCCAAAATCATAAATTGGTTACATCAAAGAAACAGAGCATTTAGGAAATGATTATACAAAACAAACACTATTTTACAACTTCCCTCTTAACATCAGAGTCCAAGTGCAATTTCAGGGCCACCAACCCTGCTCTGAATTGCAACCTCCTGTGCTTGAAACGAATTGCAGATTCTCTTGATATTCATCAGCAGAGTTGCGACTTGGTCACAGAGCCATCCTTGCCCTAGAGGTGGGTCGTTGCAGTTGACTTTTCGGCCAGCATGCCAGCAGCTATCTCTGGTCTGGGAAGATTAGTGAAAGCATCATTGACGATTGGTGCAGTCTCTGTAAACTCCAGGGCATCTTTCCCCCTCCCCGGAATTCAGTTGCATCATTGTATCATCAGGCGCGAGTCAGATTAGCCTTGTGTACACGAGGAAGATGAGAATGATTG